AACGAACCTGCGGGTACGTGCCTGGCCGGAGGCTCCAGCTGTGCTCCAGCGCGGGCCGCAGCCAGCGAAGCGCGGGAGCAGGACGCGTTTTAAAACCACGTTTCGCAGAAGATTTGAGCCGAGCTCCACTTACAGCAACCCCCGCCAGCGCCTGCACGGCCGCATTTTGCCAGCGTCGAACCTCCAGCTACTCGTTAATCATTTCGCTCCGTTCCGACGGAGGAGACAACGCAAGGGGCAGGTGGGAAATTTCCGGAACAAACCTATTTTTTGGTTACGCACAAATGTCTTGGGGGCTGTTGTGCTGACAGGCTGGAGCTCCGCCCCAGCGGTTCGTGCTCAGCCTCCGGGAAAAGTGAGACCGGTCTGAGGAAAATGATTTAAAATGCCTTCAGATGCCTTTTCACTTCTTTTTATTTAATTCCATAAATATTTTCATAAGGCTCAGTGTCTTTACAACACTTTTTTAAACACTTTTTTTGTTTTATACACACAACTTTGACACTTGTTTGACAGGGTCAAACAGTCCAATATAAACAAAATAATAAAACTGGCAAGTGCGGATCAGCTGGGTTACCAAAATCCTTTTTTTTTTTTCTTTTTTTTTTTTCTCTTACTGTTAAAACCCCAAAAGCACTAAAATATCAGTATTTGGCTTCAAACTAGAATTTTAAAAACCTTTTTTTTTTTTTTTTTAAATTCTCTGCTACAAGTCCCTGTCGTCATAGTGCCTTTAAACTCCTACAGCCTCTTCTTTTCTTCTTAAGGAAAAATAAGCTCGGTGATGCCATGCAGAACTTACAATAGCTACTAAATATACATGTTCCCTGAAATGTAGCTGCAATGAAAAGATGACAGAGCATAAAGAGAACAAAACCAGAAACCCAAAGCACCACAGTGTACTATCAATAACATTGCACTGGACGGCCAGCGACCGTCCGGAAACTGAAACAAATTTCAAATATATTTCTCTATGTATTGTTTTCTATTTACAACTGTTAGATGCACCTAGGTTGGTTCTCGTTTGAGCTTTTTGGAGAGGGTGGGGAGGCGAAAGTCTTGAATTTAGATCCTCTGTTCTAGTGTCTAGGTCAAGGGGTAACGCATGTCATTTACCTAGGGAAGAGGGTACTTTTATTTTTTATATATATATATAGATTCAGCCAGAGAAATACCGTAAACATGTAAGTTTGTTACAACTCTCTTGTTTCTGCATGTGGAATGGTGAGTGGGTTCCTCCTGTCTGGCATCGAAATGAAAGTCTGTATCAGCTGCTCGGTCAAAACGGCCCCGATCTGACTGCACCCGCGCTGCTTCCAGCGCGCTCAGACGCAGGAGGCAGCCCGGCCCTGCTCCCTACGGGGAAAGCCACGGCGGGGGGTAAAAGTGGGACCCAGTGCTGGTTCTTCTTGTGACAATGCTCCGTCTCGTGCTGCACCTTGGCAATTTACGGAGGGGAAGAGCTTTCTTGAATGCCATGCCCGAGAGCCAAGCCCCTCTTCCCTCTGGAACAAGCGCCTGCGCCTGCCGCGCCTGCCGCCCGGCTTCGGCAAGCGCTAGCAACGCTCGCGTGTTTTGGCTTTCCGTTTAAGAAAGAAGCTGCGAGTCCAACAAGTGGCCTTGTCAGATCAAGCGAGTCTTGATTTATGATGCAAATAATGGTGTGGCGGTGGTGTTTCTTTTTTCCTAGTGCTGAGTATTTAGGAAGCATCTTCTCATAAAAATTATGGATGTCTCATTCTCACTCTCTGAGGCACAAAACAGTAAATGAACAGGCTTAACTAATGCGCTTGTTACTTTTTTTTCCCCCTAAGCAATTAAAAAGGCAAAGGAATAAGTGAAATTTTCATCATGTTGACAACAGTTTGTAATCTCTCTCTCTTTCTCTCTCTCTCTCTCTCTCTCCATCTCTCCAGCCATTCAGAAATAGTAAAACATTTCAGCTGTTAACTCCTGAGAACCCATCTCATTCACTTCTTTAAATACCCATTCTGTTAAAGAAACCACATAATATTTGCTACATAGTCAATATTCAAATCTGGCCGTAAAAATGCAAGGATACAAAAGAGCATAAAAATAAGTTCTGATATAAAACGGGGCTGCCTCCTGTTTGGGATTCCCGGTGTTTCGTTGCTGCCTGTCGCAGAGGGGCCACTCTTCCTCTCCAAAACACTAATCTGGCCTTGCTCTTTATTGATAGTTTCAGGATTACTAAAAAAGGCTGAGATTATTTTTGTACTTAAAAAAAAACCCCAACGTAGCCACTGCCTGTAATATACCCTGAAATAAAACAGGCTCCATGGAAATACTGAAATCACACTCCCTGCTCTTCCCATTCCCTGATATTGCTTGGGGTAGGAAAAAAAAAATGGATCTCCACACTAGCTGGCCTGGGGTGCTTATGTGGTGTATCGGATTGAAAATAAAATGATAAATGCCCCGATCAATCACTTCATCCCACATTTTCAAAGGAGCTTGCGGAATAGCTCTGCTAAGTTTTTAAGTTCATCCTCTAAAGCTGGTTAAACAGTCTCATTTGCCCTAGGAAAAAAAAAAATCATCCTAGTGCACAACGATTTGTTTTACAAGCTTAAACATAAGCTTTTGCGCTTGCAAACGAACGTACTTAAGGCTGAAAGTGTAGGAAGTGTCTTTGAAAATAGAGCTATGAATCTCCAGAGGGAGAAAAGGAGAGAGAAAGAGACGCGGAGAGCTTAGCTAATCACTCCCGCGCCCGCCGACACGGGTACCCCTCTGCCGAACCACTGAGCCCGGTGCGATATTAAACTGAGCCCCGACTTAGATTAGGTCACGTAATCGTGGGCCTGCGGCTCAACCTCCCAGGTCACAGCCCTCTCCTTCCTGAAAGGCAGCTCTCCGCTGCACCTCGGGTGCCTTAAATACCAGGGAAATACTTCCAACTCCTCAGGCAGCGACCCGTCCGCTAACGGGTCACGACCGGCGGCTCCCCCTCTGCCTCGGGGCCTACAGGGG